CACTATTTACAATAGCCAAGAAATGGAAGCAACCTAAGTGTCCATCAGTAGATGAATGGATAAAGAAGATGTGATACATATACACAATGGAATATTATTCAGCCATAAGGTGAAAACAAATCCTACCATTTGCAACAACATGGATGGAGCTAGAGGGTATTATGCTCAGTGAAATAAGCCAGGAGGAGAAAGACAAGTACCAAATGATTTCACTCATCTGTGGAGTATAAGAACAAAGAAAAACTGAAGGAACAAAACAGCAGCAGAATCACAGAACCCAAGAATGGACTAACAGTTACTAAAGGGAAAGGGACTGGGGAGGATGGGAGGGAAGGGATGGATAAGGGTGGGGAAAAAAAAAGGTGGTATTACATTCAGCATGTATAATGTGTGTGTGGGGCACAGGGATGGCTGTGTAATACAGAAAAGACAAGTAGTGATTCTACAACATCTTACTACACTGATGGACAGTGACTGTAATGGGGTTTGTGGGGGGGACTTGGTGAAGGGGGGACCCTAGTATACATAATGTTCTTCATGTAATTGTAGATTAATGATAACAAAATTAAAAGAAATAATAAATAATTTAAAAAAGTTCAAACCTACAAAAAAAAAAAAAAGACATGGGCCCTGCCCTCAGAGAGCTCACAGTCCAGCTAAGGCATTAGATATTTGGATAAATAAAGACAACTCAATGTGATTAGTTTCTAATAAATATATACAAAGTACTATGGATTACAGTGGACAGAATAATTGGAAATACGGGAGGAAAATATTTTGGGAAGGTTTTCCCAAAATGCTTATCATCTCTTGAGCCATCCATCAAAAATCAAACTGCAATTATTACCCACCCCCATTCATGTACAAAACCAGTTTAAAGTCAATGTTTTAGTATCTATGATGTGTTCACCATGCCCTGAAGAAGGTTTTGTTGTAGGATCATGTACATATATAAGATTTTAGGTTAGTGGAAAATGACAGGGCAATTAAGAGGCAAGCAACAAGTGCTGGGGATATAGAGGGAGCAACAATAAAATCTGCCTGGGAAATGTGGAAGCCCTTCCCAGGGCATTCTGGGATCTGGGATGTTTCAGTCCTTGCCTCCCCATAATGGCTATGGGCTCTGCACCTATGTTTGTGTGTGATTCTGGATTTCCTCATCAGGTTATCTAGAACCAAAGGTCTCAGGGCAGATGGCACAATGGCTAGATCATTAAAATTTCCTGGGGGTCTAGACTTGAAGGCAGCTGAATGGCAGCTTTGTTGCTGGAAAAACATGAAGGAAGCTGGTACAGCAGTGTCTGAATTTTGATGGCAGGTAAGTAAAGCCAAGTAGGAGCCAGGAGGAGGAGAAAGGAGGTAGGAAGAAAGAGGACAGAGGGTGAGAGAGAAAGGAGGAGAGGAAGAAGAAGGAGACGAGGAGCAGGGGACAGAGAAGAGGAGGAACAGGAGGAGTAGAAGGAAGGAGAAGAGAAGAGAAGAGACAGGAAGGGAGAGGAAGGGCAGAGGAGAGGATTGAAGCTGACCCTTGGGGATAAGCAGTGATGGGGCATTGTTAAGGAGTCTTTGGTTGCAAGTTCCTGAATTCACCTTGAGCTTTATTCTGAGGAGCTGAGCTCTAGGAATATCATAGCACCTAGGGGCAGAAATGCAGCTGCCCTTGGAAAGAGACTGGAACCAGAAATGGAAAAGCTGTGAGGATAAGGCCATGGTAATAGTATTTAGGGTTGATGTGAGGGTTAGATGAGATAAGACATGTTAAGTGTTCGGCCCAGCACTCACACCAAGAGCTCTTTCACTACTGTTATCATTACTTGCAATTACCTCTTTGACATACTGCGGGTAGTGACACAGGCTGTGCTCTGCACCAGGGTCCATATCTAAGGAGTAGGTTTATGTATTTTTTATGACAGTTTTTGTAAGATGTAAGTAAATGTCTTGGCGAAGAGACACCTTTTTCTAATTCTTACAAAGGTGCTGTGTATTAGCAGCAGACTAGTCTGAGGCACAGTTCAGATTTCTTTTTTTTTGTTCCTTCCATCAGCTTGAAACTGTGATGCCCAGTTTAGTCTTGGCCATGTGGTTATGCTCAGAACAAGCTGGCGTAGCCCTTCTCTTTTCACGTGTTCTGGAGCTCAGTGACAGCCAGTGGCTGAATTCTCGTTAACCCCATGGCTCAGCAATACCTGCTTGTACTTAAACTGACATCATCAGGATGGCCTGTTAGCTGAGTCTGGTGAGGACCTGTGCTATGCCAAGGTCACTGGAGGGTGACGCCTGTGCTACAGAAGGAGGCGTGGAGGCACCAACCAGAGAGGATGGGTGAGAGGGAAGCAAAGGTGAGCAGCCGGCCAGGTCTGCATGTCTGGGATGCTGCTGTGTGATTCACACTGGGCCTTGAGGTGGAAAACAAACAGGCAAAGACATCATTAGCATGAGATAGCCAGAAACACCTGAGGCCTTTCCTGCAGAGAGGTTTCCACAGAAAGGGGCTCTTTGCTGTGGAAAACTCTGCGTCCACCTCCCGCCCTTCCCCTAACGTGCTAAACGGGCAGATATGTTCTCACCCCTCTGGATATTGTGCAACAGCCCAGCTGGGGGAAGGGTAGCAGTCCTGTCTTCTAGTTGACAGAAGTGACAGTTTAAAGCCATGAATAGCTTCTACCCTGTCTCTGGATTCAGTCCCTGAGGCCAGGCACTGGCAAGAGAGGCTGAAATGCCCCCTTTGATGGCAGTTGTGGGGCAGGGGGAGATTGTTAAGAGGCATTCTGACCACATTTCTGTGGCACAAGCTAGCACAGGCCAGCATGGGAGGAAACTAGGCCGTGAGGAGGACATTGACAGATCTGGCGGGTGACAGATCTTGGCTCCTGCATGCTGGACGGCAGGGGACAGGGCGTCTTCCTCCTTCTGCTCCTCTGGGACAGAGTGTGCAGCTTGTCTGTCATCAGATGTGGGTGCCAGGGCTCTGTACTGAGGCAGGGAGCCGCCTTGCTGCACGGTGGTCAGGCTGTCTTGCCCTTCAGTGTGGATCACTTACTCGCATAACCCAGATTCATGTAGCCTCTTGATAGAAGTAAAAAACTTATTTTGGCCTTTGGATACACGCTGTGTGACGTGACTCTTCCCAAGTTGCTGCCACACTGAGCAGAAACAGAGCCACAGCTAAGAAGTGGCTGGGCAGAGCCTAGGGAGCCCCTTCGTCATCACCTTGCTTGCCAGCTTGCAAAGTGAAGGAGGGGAATGGCTTTAAAAATGGGGCTGGAATTTGGGGAACCTTTTTCATCTCTTCTTATAGAAGCCTTTTTATATCAAGGGTTATATGAAGCCTTTTATATCAAGTAGACTAACTCCATGGCACAAAAGTCCAGGTTCTGGTGGGGAGAGGAACAAAAAGTCACACTAACTTGGAATACGAACTGGCATAGAACTGTGTTCTATTGGAGCCCAAACCCTGTGAAGTCTCATGGGCTATGAAGTCCAATTAAAACAGAGGTGGGCACAGTATGAGGTTAACAGGCATATTTAATTGTGAGAACCAGGATTTTAGTAGGGAAAGAAAAAAAGCCAAGGAGAAGCCAAGGCCAATTATCAGAAGTGCTAATTTTTACCAACCTAATCACTAATGAATACCATGTTTCCAAAAAGAATGTGAAGAGAATAATTGTATTTCAAGGGCTTGAAAACTGCTAAACTCTGAAGTTGTACAATTTGTGCAAATTAATATGATAAAAAGAGACAATTAAGGTTTATAATTAACAGATAAATACAAACGATCTGGTGAAGACAATCTAAGTTTCTGCTCTGTCTTATGAAGCAGTGTAATTGATTTTTATAAATGCTAATTTACAGTACATGCTCTGTTAACCATTAACACAGAGAAAAGACAAGGAGTAAATGGAAGTCAAGGAGGGAGGTGAGCCAGGAACTAACAGACCAGGATCTAGCAAGGAGAAGAAATAGAAAAGTATTCCGAATGTTGGAATGTGACTTTGAGAGGGGAAAGACACCATCCACTCCTCTCCTCTTGATTGTCTCCTTGGGGCAAAAAAGTCTCTTAACAGTCTATACAAATACAACAGCATTTTTCTTTATTGTTTCTATACCATTAAAAAGTAGCAAGCAGATTTTTCTGAAATTTGGAGGCTATGGGTAGAATGGTCTGACTTGAAATGTAGGCCATATTGTGTCATAAAATGCACTTCAGTGGGGAGATGATTCCCAAGCAAGGGCGGCTGAACCACCCAGAGAGAGGCCTGCCTTACTTCCCATCGGGAGGAGCCTGCCATGAGAAGTCAGATGCTGTGGAGAGATCACCGAGGGTTAATTCAAATGTTAGCTGAAAAGCAAATGCCATAAAGGCCCACCTCTAGACTGCAGGCAATTTGGGAGGGAGGGTGTCCCATATGGGCGACTCACACAGCGCTGCTCCAGTGTCCGCCCCGCAGGAACTCAGCTGCCTAATGGAGGCAAACAAGCCTTCTAAGCCACTCCAAGGAGGCCAGACAGTTCACAACAAAAATAGTCCTTTCCTGATGGGGAAGGAATGAGGGTGAGAAGAGCAAGGGGAAGTCAGAGGGCATTGAGGAAAAAGAGGCTGGGAGAGAGGGATTGCTCTGCATGTCCCCGTGATGCCTCATCCCTCTTGGGGACAGGGACTGTGCACATTTGTGTTCTTGGTGCCTGGCATGATGTTTGTCCTATGATCAGAACTGGAAAAAGACTTATTTCTAATAAAGAAAAATAGAGATCAGGCGATTCATATTCTGTATAAAAGAAATCCTGAAAATGCTGCTCTTTTGTTTTGGCGATTTGAGACCCTAGGGATTTTTACCTGAGTCTAACACTCTGCTTTTGTGTTTCATGTTGAAATCAGCAAGAGGAAAAAAGAAAGTGGATGAAGACAGTATCAGAGGATGTTTGGAGCATTATTGTTTAAGGCTTAGACCAGGGAAGGTCAGCAAGTTGCCCTTCCTTCTAGCCATGTTCCATTAACCTGCTCCTGCCGAGTTAGGAGTCTCCCCTAGCATTTCCAAATGTAACCTGCTGGTGAATGTGACACTTTCTCCATGCTTCCAAAATTCCTAATCTGCAATATCAATTTTACTTTCAATAACTCATTTTTTTTGGCTTCCTGTTACCTTTTTATAAATCGTATTTGAATTTTGAATTTTAAAATTCTTTAAATTTATTAAATAAAAGGAAAGACAAAATCTAGATTCGAGGACCTAAAACAGAAAGTTGCTTTTATAACTCTCATCTGCCTTCATGTTAAGTTGGAAATATATGCATGCTATAGACCAAGACTGTCCAATAGAAATATAATGTGAGTCATATATACAATTCAGATTTCCAGTAGTGATGTGACAAAGACACAGGTGAAAATAATGTTAATGATATATTTTCTTTAACTCAATAATTCAAAATACCATTTCAACATGTAACCAATATGAAATTATTAATGCGATAGTATATATTTTATATTGTCTTCAAAAATATGCTGTGTATTTTATACTTACAGCACATTTCATTTGGCACTAGCCATATTTCAGGAACTCATGGCACACATGGCTGGTGGTTAATGTACAATACAGAGAGACAGAGAGAGAGAGAGAGAGAGAGAGAGAGAGAGAGAGAGAGAGAGAGAGAGCAAAATACCTTAATCGGCCATAGTTGTATTGATTCTTATTCTAATTATAAACCATATAAGGGTCCTGATGTAGCTACAGTCACTATGTATAATATAAATAAAGTCTAAATGGTATAAAAATGACAAAGCTGAATAAGTATATCTCACCAAAAATAATTTCTTTGGACCAAGTTAAGAGATTTGCTGAGCATATCCTAAGGAAATCACATCTTGAGTCCTCAGCCAAAGGCTTAGATTCAGAATATGTAGCTCTATTGGATGTACTGAAAATCAAAGTATAGTTTTCTACTTTCACAAAGGCTTTTGGGCCAGCTGGCTTAGTGGATATAGTGCAACAGAGGCCAGAATATGGCTTCAGTCTATACATGTGCCAGATACATATGGGCAACACTTCTTTTCAAGAGATCTAGGCTGACTGACTGGTGGTTGACCCATGGATTTATCAGCCACCAGGAGGTGACCTGAATGTTTCAGGGCCTGGACGCTCCACCCTCCATAGTTGGAGGAGTAACTTAGAGCCAAAATGGGTACCTGTGCCTCTGTAAAAAGAATGAGAACACAAGGACAGATGCAAAACAATCTCCAAGATAAATTAAGTGAAAAGAGCAAGTGCAGAACAGTATATATAGTATGTTAGCAATTGTGTAAAAAGGAAAAAGTGTGAATATAGTTACATATGCATAGACTAACTCTGAAAGGACAGAAAACAGGCAACATTGATTGCCTCCTAGGAAGGAAAGAGGGAGGTTGGGAGGCCAAGGGAGGGGGGAGAATTTTCCCTTTTAATCTTGATTCCTTTAGAATTTTGTACCATTAGATCTGTATTTAATATATTTACACATTGTATTTATTAATATAATTTATTTCAAATTCTGTACCATGTGAATGTATACCAAAATTAACAATGTAGAAAAATTTTTAAAGAAAAGACTTTGAAACAAACCAAAACCAAAAATAAAAGACATCTTAGTGAGGGTGGTATGTCCTGTCTTGGAGTTGAAAGTGGAGTATAGAAATGATCAACTAGACCCAGGAGCAAAGAGGGGAGTCACTAAGACTGAGAAAAGTTATCTCCTAATACTTTAAAAATCAGACGGACAATTCTGATTCCGCAGGCCCTTCCAGAAGGCCTGGTTTGTGTGAGTCAGTGAGGAGCCAGCAGGCCCACCTTGCCCCCGTCTCATGGACCTCTATCTGCTGAATGAATGAGTCTTCCCGGTGAGTGCTGCTACTGTTTATGGCTGAGTTAAAGCCAAAGGAGATGTGCATGTAGCATTATAGTTTCTGAGATAGAAGTAGCTTTCTGTTTAGAGAGGACATTGTCAAGAGTGCCTTTTCCTGACAAAGAGCAAAACAGCATTTCCCTGGTAAAATGTGTGACAACAAAAAGATGTAATGTCAACACCTTGGTATCAGCCTGCTACAGCAAACCTGGTGATAAGATCTTTCATAGAGTAAGTGTGCATTGGTGTTACACTGCCCCTCCTGAGCTTTCACTCCTTGTAAAGTATTTGATAGAGATGAGACTCCCCATCTCATCTCTTGGGGATGATACCATTTCTCTAGAAATCTCATAGAATATATTCTTTCGACAAAGATGTACTGTAGCTTCTGTGTGATGGGCACAGTGAAGCGCAGAGGGATATGCAGATAGGCTTGGCAAAGGCCCTGCCCACTGGGAGCTGGTCATATGCCAGGGATGATAAAGGTGTTCCAGAAAGTGGTGGAAGTGCAGAAGAGAGAGGAGAGGGGGTGCTTCAAGAAACAGTGAGGAGTCATTGAATAAGTGGAATTTTTCCTGGGAAAGGAGCAAGGAGAAGTTATTTTAGGCAGAGAGTTGTACACAAAAAGGCAGAGGAATGCAGTGCCGGACCTGTTTAAGGAAAGGGGACCCCCGTTCAGCCAGGGACGGAGAAAGGTGAGGCTGTGAGGCAGGCTGGGGGTCTTGGTTGCTGAAGAGGCTACACTTGCCTCCCTGGCTGCAGAGAGCTATAGGGGATGTAAACAGCACGGGGTGGACTGTGCCAAACCCTGAGGGGCCACAAGGGCACTGGACAGAGCGCTGGGGATGCTGTGCCAGCAGCCAGAGGAACACAAGTATGGGAGGACCCTACAGATTCTAGATCAGGGGTGTCTGGGGACTGATGACCCACTGACTGAATATTAGGGTCAAGGAGAAGGATGAGCCATATTCCAGCTGCCTTTGGAATCATCAGCAAATCAAATTATACTTTCTTTTGCTAATGCTAATGGAGAATGAATTACACTTTCTTCTCTTTTATCCTTTTTTTTTGCTAACAGACAATGAATTAATACTGGCCCTGTAAATGCATGTTGCAAAAGAGCTCTACTTTATTTAATTTAGACCTGTTTTTAGAATCATTTAATTTGACACTGTATTGGAAATTGCTTGATCCATAACTTGTTTTGAATCAAATAATGTGCCTTGTTTAAATGTCTGACTGGATCCCAGTTTGCGGCTCTCACAAATGTTAGTTACTTCTTAAATGTCCCGACTACAAATGCATGCAGTGAGGGGATGGGTTGGGTCAGTGCGGTGGCAGCTCTAGGCCAGGTGTTTTTAAGTCTGCTTGGTCTGGGGCAGACCCGCCCCAGTGAGTGAAGGACAGCACAGATTTCTCCAAAGCATCCTGGTTCCCAGAAGTGACTTTACCATGTGATGGACAATGTCAGGTAATTTTGGATAGGAAAGTTTGGAAGTTGGGTGTGCCAAGCTCTGAATTCAAAGCCTGAGATGTATTTCTTTATGAGAAATAGGAGAGATTGAGTTTCGTTCTCAGGAACCTCTGTGACCCAAAAACCTTACCTGTTTTACCACTGGATGAAATCACATCTTATTGGAGTATGTGCTGGAGGAAAAAGGGGGTGAAGGTTCACATGCCTTGTAAAAGATTTTCAACAATGTGTAGTTTTATAGATCCACTGGGAGCCTTTACGTTTTGCGATGAAGTGTTTTATATTTAAAAGTTGATAGATTATTTTTAGGCAGCACAGACTGCCTTTCACTTAATGGCCACTGCTCTGGGGCTCTGTGCCAAGGTACCACTCTCTCCTGGCCATAAAGAGAATGACCCAATTGTTCCTTCAGTTTCCTCTAAATACTATCTATTGATTTTCTTTCTCCCACAGGGAGCAGGCTGATTTTGGTTATTCCACAGCAATTAAGTAGAGTATTTGGTTAGACTCTTCTTCAACCTTGAAGTTTTCTATTTACTCTCCTCCATTACAGCCTTAAAGCTTTAGTCCCTTTAACTTTTTAAATATTTATTTATATAAGTAGCCAAGAGTTGCTTTTCTGCACCAATAAGCAAAAGCATTACAATATTAATAACCCTTGGCCACAGGCCTGGCTTCCTCCCCTTCTTCCCGTGCTTGGATGATTTCCTCTGCATTTGAAGTAATAGTGGCCTGAAATTCATTCAGGCTCTCACACACTCCATGAAGTTTCCAAAATAAACCAATGGCAAGCATTTAATTAGCTCATTTTGTTTCTGCCAATGCAGAGCTGCAGACTCGAGGAGCTCAAGAACTGGTGTACAATATAGCTGTTGTGAAAATTCCATGCCTCCACAGTAAATAGGAATAGGATTTAGAAGACTGATGATTCTGCCTGTTATCACCCTCTCTGTGGCTTTGGATATGTTTCTTTGCCAATCTGGACCCAGGTGGGGTAGAAAGGGTAGGGTACCACTAGTTTTTGAGGGTGAAATCTTTTGGCAGTGAGTCCATTCTTCTAGCAGTGAGCCCATTATCAGCACTAGTCACCATGCTGGTGCTGAGCACAAGAGATGTGCAGGACCCAGCCAAATGGGGAAAGAGGGAGACAGGATAGAGACAAGTATTCCCCCCTGCCTGAAAAGAGCTCTGCTAGAGAGGGACAGAGAGTGCAATGGGGGTGTCTGCAGGGCTGTCCCCGGACGGCACGAGGCTGAGGATGCACGAACTACAGAGGCTTCTGCTTTTCCTGTGGTCTTTGGGGCAGGGGGAAGATTTATTTTCTCCCCAGGCTCAGTCAACCTTCCTGCAAAGCTTCTGGAAAAAGAAAGTCTCTCTTAGGATGTTTATGTTGGGCTTTCTTCCTGATAGCTGTCAGTAGTTTTGAAGTCACAGCATTTCCATCAAGATAAGTCAGTAATGAATGTTTTGCACACACAGGATAGGCGGCAAAAGTTCTAGGTGTAGAGGAAAACTGACATTGGATGGCCTGAGAAGGCCTCCAGCTAGGGAGAGGCAGGAGAGCCCAGAAGGTGTTCAGGGGCTGCAGGTGAGAGGAGCTCCTGTTTCTTTCTGTTGGTTCGTGAAGGCTACAGATCTGCTTTCCTGGGGTCACACCCCATCACCCACAAATGTCTCCTGTAGGGGGATCTAGCCTGCATTTCTGCTGGGGTAAGACACAGGCAAGGGGCCCTGCTACCCCTGTGCCATTTGGTCTTACCTCCTCACCTTCTTATGGTCTTATTTAGGCTTTGCCTTGACCTTAAGAAGGCATTTTATATCAATGCATACATAATAAAATAAAACTTAAAATGAGAGGTACTGCTGAATTGTGTATAAATGCTAACCACGCCAAAGTGTTCCTGCCTTTCAATTTAGCAATAGTATTCTTGGAAATTAATCCCAAGGATAATAATTGAAGTCTGCTCAAAGGTTTATCTTTGTTTTTCATATACTTGTAACTTTTCTCTGATTTATTCATGGTGAAATATCTTGTGTACTGTTAAAAGAATAATAAGAAAGCGAGCACTTGTGCATCCACAACTCAGGGAAAGATAAAGAGCATTGACAGTGTTTTTGAAGTTTTTGAAGCACCCTTTGGGCCATTCTACAATGCATCCTCTCCCCTCCCCCCCACCAAGTCTCTCACACATGCACGATAATATTAAAATAATTTTGTGATCCATTGCTTTTCTTTATAATTTTATTATATATAAAATTATAATTTTACCACTTTCAAGTATTATCACTTAATAATATATCATTTTGTTTAGCCTTTTTTGCATTCTGTGGTTGACTTCTTATTCTCAGTATTATATTATTGATGTATGTAACTACATTTCATTCATTTCCTCTGTTCTATAGTATTCCAATATTTGAATATACCACAATTTATCCAGTCTACTATTGATATTTATTTGGATTGTTTCCAGTTTTTGCTCTTACAAGTGATGCAGCTATTAATATTATTGTACTTACAGAAGAGATTTCCTAGCGTATATTCTTAGGGGTAAAATTGCTGGGCTGCACAACACATGGTCACCTTTACTAGGTGGGAAGAGACAAGTGTGATTGTCTGACAAATGCCCCTGGGGGTTCAGGTTGCCCAGCCCCAAGAAAGTTGGAATCAGGAGCTCCTCTCACCCACCCACTTTCCCACAAGGTCACGGGATGCAGCAGTGTATTTCCAGACAACTCTGAATAGCTGACATCTAAAATTCAGATTGCTAGACATGACCAACCTCACCCTGACACCTCCTCCCACCCATTGGCAAGGCCATTCTCCTGGGATCCTGCCTCTGCAGTAGAGCTCCCTGGGGGTATCTTGCAGGCCCTTCATACTTCTTTGTGAGAGAAGTGTGTGAACTGGGCATGTTTTGCTGGTCTTCTGCTTCAAGTTTCCAACATAGCCTTTTCTGTGCTTATATGTAATGACTGTGTAGTGTTTGACTTTACCACCTTCCCAGACTAGGTAATGTCAAACTGTATTCCAAAGTGACTGCTCCAGTTTCTCTCTCACAATTAGGGGGTGAGAAATCCTTTTGCTCCACATCCTCACCGATGCATGTTATTTGCATTTTTTACTTTAAAGACTTAGATTTTTTGTCAACCTTGTGGTTTATAAAATTGAAAAATTCATTGTGGTCTAATTTGTATGTCCTTGATTGTTAATGAACTTGAGCATCCTTTCATAGTGTGTATGGGTCAGATTTCCTCTTTTGTAAAAATACCTCTTCAAAGCTCTTTTCTGTATTATTTGCCTTCTTAAAATTGATTCATATGAGTTACTGGTATGTTCTGGTTATGATTCCTCTGTGGTTTATATGAATTGCCCATGTTTTCTCCAATTTTGTGAGTATTTTCTCCTTTACTATGGGATCTTTTATAAAGAAAAGTTCTCAAATTTGATGCACTCAAATTTATTGAGCTTTTTTACATTATGGTTTGTAGTTTTGGTCTTATTTACAAAGTCCTTTTCTATC